ATAGGACATCTCTCTCATAAGTTACAATTACCTTGGAAACATACAGAAAAGAGCTGCCCATGAAGTACATAGGACTTGATCCTCTTCAATAGCCTGACCATTGAGAAGGAAAAAGATGGGCTTTATGACCATTCTGGAAAATTGATAAACCTGGGCTGTGGTGGACCTAGTGTAGGGATGACTTTCAAAATCAAGGTGTCTGCACAAAGAAACCCTGACAACAGCTCCTCCTTACCGCCTTTGAGAGCACTTCAGCCAAAGTGACTTGACTTGTCAAGTGTGCAAGTGCTTAGTTGTCTTGTTTAGCAAAGATTCAGAGAACTAATAGAAAATATAATACAGAAATAGAATTGTATTCTATGTATTCTTTGTGGAATCTGAAATGTCAGTGTGATCTCTGTGGTTTTTAGAAGAAACTAGGTAAGCTGGGTACAATCAAACATGCATTTAAGGTGGCAGGATGCAATATGGGCCATATTTTTAAGAATCTGGGATTGGGGGTGCACCGATAGAGATTGTTTGGGCCAATACCAATGGCTGATGTTTAAGGAGCAGCATCAGCTGATATCGATCCAATTCCAATGTGCAGCTTGGAGACCAGCATTGGGCTTGTAAGTCTGGGGTGGGGGAAGGGGTGAGGGGAGGGAAGGAACATAGGGAGGGCAGATTGAGGCCCCTGTGGTGAAAGAGGGAGTTCAGCTGGAGTAGGTGCTGCCCGGCCAATGCCAGGCTGTGCTCAGAGCAGGTGATGGGGGTGCTGGGAGGGGGCTACGGGGCAGGTCTGCAGCCACCCTAAAATTCTCCATACCCCCCTCCACCTCCCCTGTAGCCCTAGTCCAGTGCCGCCTGCCCTGAGTGCAGCCTGACCCAGCCCCCTCCCTCCCCTGCCCCTCACCAGGAATAGCCTGGCTCCTCCAGCTCACAGCTGCAAGCCACCCTGTGCTGCCCCACATGCAAATGCAAGGTCACAGGTGTGTGTCCGACCCCCCCTCCCCCATGCCCTCCTGGGGGGCATGCAGGGCGGGAGCTGCCTCCCAGGCCACCCCCCCCCCCCACGCCGCACGCCCGTCCGCTC